ATCTTCCTCCTCCACTCAGTCCAAAACTGCCCACTTACCTTCTTAACCAAGTAGCCCTCCCTTATGCGCATCGGTTCTCGCTCCATGTCTCAGGCAATCCTCTTCTCAGGTCTATCAGCGCTGGCAGTTAAGTTCCTCTGGCAGCAAAGTCTGTGGGCTAGCGTTTTTACAGTACAGCCGTGTCACTTTCACAAGTTCCTCTGCCTGCTAATCACATGAAAACAAGCCCATTTCCTCTTACAGAGTGAGAGATAGGGAAACGCAGAAGCACGTATGTATTTATAGTTTGCCTCTGACAGAAAAGGCAACAGCCTGACAAAACACTCAACTGTATCAAATACGGCCAGCCTTGATGACAAAGTCCTGGGAAATTAAATAAGCATTTTAGTGCCCAATCCCAAGAAATCAGGCCCACTCTGCAAATACATGAACTCTACCAAAATGACAAACATGGTGGCGTACTGTGTTGCTGCTTGGCAGCATGTGCCAAAAGGATCTCAGAGACAGGTTTCCAACTCACTGGTTCTGTCACTTCATCACTTCTTTGAAGTCTGACTCCCAGTGGGTGAGCACATGGGGTCTGGCAGCGAGCTGGAGGGCCCTCGCTTGGTTAATGATGATGCGCCCTCTGCTGATACAAGAAATTTGTTTATCAGACTTGATCAGGTTTTGGAGTTTGATGCTGAGGCCTCCCAAAGAGGTTAGCTGTCAAATAGCCATAAATGGATTAGACCAAAGCATTACATAAAGCACTGCAGAATGTCACCTTCTACGAGCATCTTTTACTTGCTGCAGAGCTCATTTGGCTATATTTGGTAAAAGGTAAGGCAAACCCATAATTTTCCACAAGTTGATATATACCAGAGTCACAATCCCTCTTCCTCATACAGAAGGAAGGGTGGTGGTATATGGGAGGCAATAAGGAGGCTGCTGCATTGCCAAGAGCAAAGTATTCTCCCATGCGCAAGACTCCAAATCACTTTTACAGCTGAGCCCATTCAGATAAGGGTTGAGCACAGGGTTACTCCATCTGTCACCTCCGCCACTCGTAAAGATCCCCAAACAGGGACTTTTTCCACAGACAGAAATTCCTGCTCTCCATTTGACTCTGTCTCAGCCTTTCCTCAGAAGTATACAGAAGTCTGACAAGGTCTGTGATAGAGGATCAGAAGGTTAGAAGAGCCCTCAGAGACCTTCTCTAGCCATTCCTCCCTGATGCCTATTTAGTGGTTCTCCCACAGATGAGACTCCAACTCCTTCATTTTCTGTATTAGTGCTTCACTATTCCAACTGCTGAATGTTTTTCCTCACTATCTGAATTGAGATTTTCCTTTCCAGACCTTTCTCAACTAGCTCTACTTAAATGACCCTTCCAGTCTCATCTTCAGGCAGAGCACCTGTCTGTACCAGCAATCTCAGGCTATACACTTTGCAGTGTGTTCTGCCCAAAGCATACCTTCATGTATTTTTAGGTTGTTTGGATTTCGTTTCTAGAACCTACAGAGTCTCAGTACATAGTTCCTTTGCTCATGTAAATCATGCTATTGTGAGGATCTGATTGCTATTGAAGGCCCTAGTTGCTGATGAAGCCAATCATCCATTACGCAGTTTGCAAATCAAAGATTCAATATATGCTTTCCAGTTCTCTGTCAAGTGTACTTGACATCAGTCAACAGATTCTAAAATTATTAGAGACACAGAAACTCACACATAGCTAATAAAAGCTTCATGCTCTTTGAAAACCAAGCTGAAGTTAAAATTCATCACTAAAAAATGATCAGAAAGCTTTGTGTCACGTTTACAGTAAAGAATCTGCCTACCAGTCCCAAGGCCTGGAATGAATTGAAGATGCATTCCAGAGTTGAGAGGATCTAACTGAATTTCTGAGTTATATTTCTGTGAAGGCTCCCTTTATTTCCCATAAGCCTTAAAATAATGCTTGATGGACTCAGGAGCTTGTAGACTCCTCCTGTATAATGACTTTAAAGCAAAATTCCTTTTGCTTTAAGAAGGTGAATTATTTCCTTCTCTTCCCTTTCATTCCAGTGGTTCCATCTTTGGAAAAAGGTACGCTTTTTTTTTTTTTCTCTGATTGGATAACCCAAAAATACAGGTCATAGACAATGACAGCTCAAATTAAATACCTTTCACTGTATGGCTGGAAGCCAAACTATCCCTTTATTAGCTGCCTTGAGGCCATAATGCTACAGACCCCAGGGCGAGCACTGGAGAGCAAGAACTAGTGCACAGTTAGCTCTTCCTTCTGTCTCTACCTTGCTGCCCCTCAGACCTGAGGAAAGAAAACCCCTTCCCCAGCTGGAAGGGCTTATGGGGAACAAAGACAAAAGAATCTGCCAGCATTTTCCTCCCTGCAGGCAGTCTTTCCACAGGTTTTCCTGCTCGCCTGCTCCTGCTGGTTCAGCGTTTGTGCTGAGTCAGGATGACAGGGCCTTGCGCAATAAATCCAGGGACAGATCCTCTTCAATAGAACATCTATATGACCTTATACTAAAAAGTGGTTTAATGTGAACAGAAAAGGATGCTGACTCCACAATTTTGCAAAAGCTCATTTTCTCATGACCTGCATGAAAAGCCCTTGGAGGTGTGAAATGCAATTCTAGACACAGTGGCACCAAGCCATTCACTCCAGAATTTATCATTAGCTACTTAAGCAACTCAGTGTCAAAGCATAAAATTACCTCCATCCAATATTAGCTGGAAGCAACTACTTTTAAAACACTTCTTTTCTCTATATTGTTTCTATTTCGTCTTCAAAGTTCAGCTATTCCTTTTGCCCTTTTACCTTACCTGTCTGCAACAATCCTTTTCTTTTAACACAGAAGCTTGGTTTCATTTATCACACATCACCGCAGGGGAATCAGCACTTCATCTTCCCCCAGGCAGAAATGTGCTGATCAGGTAAGTCATTCATGTGAAGCAAAATGGTCCTTAACCATACAGTGGCCATGGCAGCTGTGAGGGACAGCCTGGACTGCTGATGCATTTCTTTGTGCAGCCATTCCTAAAGAACAGCACCAGGCATAAAAGAGAGGAAGAGCTGTATTTCTTCTAGCTCTCCACAGAGGGGAGGATAGAGCTTTGTCTGGCAGAAAGAGAAAGCAACCTGCATTGTGGAAACCTGCTATAACTTACCCTGTTCTCCCCATTTCTGTCCAAAGTAGATAAAGGTGCGTGATGCTGGATTAGCAACATTTCTCACAACAGCACAATCTGCAGCGGGCTGAGTATCTTAGCTCAGTTTACTGGCAAGTGATCTGTTCTTGTACGAGAGATCTTGCTGCTGTATTTCCTCAGAAAATTCTGGTTTTTTTCTGCTACTTCAGGGTCCACTCCTGCAAGCATTAAAAAAAAAGTGATCAACCACATTTAACCGAGGAAGGGATCTAGCTGAGAGACTGATGGGCGTTTATACTGAAAATTGGAACCATATCTTTGCAAATAAATGTGTCAGCTGCAAGGAAGACAGGCAGTTTCTCAGCTTGTTACATCAGCTTCACTGCTCTCTCTACTAACCCTTGCATAGCTGTTCTTCAAACATGTTTGCTGCATTGTAAATGCCATAAGCCCACTCCCATCTGTAACAGAGCATGTGAGTTCTCCGTAAATATGCATCTCTCCAGCAAATCAAGCTGCATTTCCAGGGGAAATCAAATCAAATGCTATATGTTCAAAACAATTGTCTACACAGGAAAAATAATATACACAAGTGGTTTACAAAGGTGATAAAGACTCAGTCCGGCTTATAGTTCAGTAAAACCCTTTCTCACTTCTGCGCAGAGGCAGATGTCTCAAAAGAATTACAGTATTAAACTGAGAGCTGGCAGGTGCAAGTCTCAGCACAATTCACTCCTTACAGAATCACACATATGGCTATTTTTAGCAAATGAGAGATTGTGGCTTTGCATCCACTTCTCGAAAAGAAACCCAAAACCAGGACTTTTCCAAATTTAGCACTGTGTTAAGAAACGAATCAAAGAGGGCCAAGCATGAAAAGGCTATTACAGGTATTGTCCACGTCACCTTGAAATCTAAATCCTGTGGGCTTGCACCATAGATGAACCGTCTTGTTCCGACCTCAAGGCACCTTTCATATATTTAATTATTGTGGAGCTATGCAGCAGGATTAGTGCATTAACTCTAAGTGGGAAGGCCTGCATAAACAGTAATACTGAAAAAGCTTATGTAGTTGACATATTATCATGCATAGAGAGATCATATTGAGTGGATGGAGTCGAGAGACCAAATGGATTTCTTCAGGATGTTTTCTAGACAAATTGGACCAGCACGAAGCATAGGCCATGGCTTATCTGCATATTAGCTCTGACTTTTCATTGGAGGCATCCAACCTCACCTGTGACACACTCACCTCTCCCCTACAGTAGTTCCCCATCAGCAGTACATGCAGGCAATATAGCCGCAGCAGGGAAGGCCTAGGCACAAGAGAGAGGTCTTGGAGGATGAAGCTGCAGCGTGAGAAGACTTTCCTAGTGTTGGGAAGAAAAAGAGAAATGAGAATAGCTAAGCATGCTTGCTGCAGCTCACTTGAGGGAGCTCACCACTCCCTTCAAAAGCACTAAGGAGAGCACTGCAATGTTCCTGCCCCAAGGGAAGGGAATTAGCTTAATATACCTTGCTGACTCCAGACGGCAGGCTGGGAAGTCTCAGGTGGCAGGGGAACAAAAGGTAGATTTGAAGGACTGAAAAAAACAAAAAAAAGCAGTTTTGCACTTTACGAAGACCTTAAAGATTCCAACCCCCACCCCTCAAATGTAGGTGTAGAGGATGGAGGAATGGACACAAATTTATCTCTTTGTTCCTGGAAGTAAATTACTGCTGTGGCTTAGGAGAAGTGGGACCTTGCCCTAAGTCTATGATTATCTACTTAGCTTTGAATCTTGTAAACGTCAGCACTTTTGCTCTATGCTCCTGGCAAAACCACACTGCCTCCTTCCTCCTGCAGGTATTCTGCTCCCTACAGAATATCAAGCAATTAATATCAGGTAACCATACAGCAGCCTGGGGGCTGGGACCCAAAGAAAATCCCCGTGGGGACTGAAAGGGCATGGGTTTCTCTAGCCAGGGCCCATCCCACCACCCTCAGTGAGGGGGCAGCCCACAGTATCAGGCACCTCCATGGGGATGGGCTGAGGTCAAGCCAGGTAGTCAGCCTGCAGGTAAAGATCAACAGCATCCATGGTTGGATATATCTGTGGCAGAGCTGGAGACCAGCACTCCTAAGCATAATTCAGGACAGGACTGAAGGCCCAGGGCTGAGCTGAAATAGGGCCCATGGGCAGAGGTGTGGGTGGAGGCCCCAGGTGAGGCTGGTCAGGGCCATTAAAGTGGGCAGCAACAAAACTAACTTCCCTGAAAGACTTAGCAAAGGCAACCCCTCCCCTTGATCTACACTGATAAAGAGCATTTGGTAGGATCAGATAAGTAAATGTACTAACGCATGCAAATTATCAGATCAATAAAAAGAAAGGCAATGCCTACATTTAAAATTCCTTCTTCATAAATGTTCTCTCTCACCACATTTCACTTTCGTATGGCAAAACAGTTACTCAGCCTATGCATACATAATCCATAATATGATGCTTTTTTAGTTCTCCCTCATGTTTGCCACTTTTTGCTATAGTGGTCTGAAATAGTCACAGCCTGAGCTGTGTCCGGAGAAAGATCATCATTCAGGCAAAAATAATACGGGAAAAAAAAACTCGTTATAGATCTGACCTCTCATGTACTTGGGAAACTAACTGCAATCAATGTCTTCAGCTACACACAATTTACTACAACATGATATGTCTGGCCCATGAGGCGAGTAAAACTGGTCCCTGGCAATGGCCATTATTCTTTACGCACCACTTTAAGTAATACTATCAGATTCCCCATGTGTAAGGCCTCTGTGATTTTGTACTGAATTACATTTAAACTTACAGAAGTGGGAATTGCTGCAAGCAAAACTTTCAACAAGCAACAAAGTGCAGCAGTTTCAGCAGAATATAACAAAAAATTAGAATTCTCTTGCAATGAGCAAAGAAGATAGGGAGAAATACACATGTGGTCTTTTGTGGAGCCATACTGTTATGAGATACGTGTCTATATATAGCAACTGCTTCCTCACCTGAAAACCTGTGCATACCACTTGATTGTCTGATAACTTCCAAGCTATTTTCAAGACCATTCATTGTTGACCCCAACAATGGTTGGAGGGATTCATTTTACCTAACTTTTGGACTGCTTTTGAGGACCTTTAAAGTCAGCAAAGATCTTTGCAACAAATCGATGGAGTTCAGTGTATGATTTGTGATCAAATCTTGGCCCCCACTGTGGGATGAGTTGCTCCTGCAACTTACTACTTGATTAGATGCAACTACTCTTTGATTAGGTGCCCTCTGACAATACAAGAGTCTTAGGTGACTCACCAAGCCCAAAAGATTCTTCTCATACATTAATGTTGATAATGCCGCTACCTCATCATACATAAGGAAATGTCGGGGTTTTTTAATAGCACTTGTTTCACTCTTGACTGTTCTGTGGGAGAAGCAATGACTGCGTTGTGTAACAACTTCCCTATAGGGGGGAGTCCCTGCTGCCCGTGACTGCTATCGAAGGTGGGATGTTACTTACAAAACTCATCACATATACACAGTTCTGAGAGGCAGGGATCATGCCCTGCCCTTATTTTTGTGTGTGGAAACCTGGCTGGCTGGACATATTATGAAGCCTATTCTTAGCTGGATACCTAATCAAGGCAAATACACTAGGCTGGGTTTTTTTTTGCAGAGGTTAAGTTTTCAGCAGAATGTATTATTTTGTGTAATGTTCACAATAAAATTAATTCACTAATTAACTTGCATGCACAAAGAAATGCAGCTGGGTAACACCATATCTTCCATTTTGCTTAGCAATACTACATTTTACCACTATGTCTACATCCCAGCTTTAGAAAAACAAAGAAAAGGTCAGGTCCAGCCCAACATGTAGCTGTGAAATTCTCCTAACAAAATCATTAACTCTGCATAATGTCCAATCAAACAAAAAATATATTTGTGGCCCAAGTCCTGTGTTAGCCGTAAGAATGTTGCAGTTTTAACAGCAAACAAGAACAAATGCAAAAGAATGGAAAGGATGCACCAACCTGCTCCTGGGTTAAAAGCGATCTCTAACTGTCAGATGGGAATGAGACCTGCAGTGTTGAATTATGGTACAACTTCCGGTTTCAAAGACCTTTCTCCTTGAAGAAATAGTACCAGCCATAGGTAAAGAGTAGTATTAGACTTAAAGAAATTAGGTTCTGATCTGATACTGCAACTGCAGTGGGATTTTTTTCTATTAAAATAAGAAGAGTGCAATAACGTGATTAAAAAATCCCAACAGAAACCCTGAACCAAATATTGATGTTGACTGTTGACTTCAGGGAGCAAGAAACTGACCCTCAGTCTAGGCATGGTGGCTCACAAAAACCTTTTGACGTCCAGGGAGAGAGAAGAGCCACAAAACCACGTCTTCGCTCTCCGCCCTCCCCTCCCTCTCACGCAGCTCTGGCTCCTGCGTGCCGCTACGCAGATGCTTCAGCCCACCCCAGAGGGCTCGATCAGCCCGCGGGAGACGGCTCCCCGCGGTGAGGGGATCGGCGGGGGGGGGTGGGGGG